TTGTAATCACGGTCAGGGGGCACCTGAGAAAGCGGGGCCTGGTACTCAAACTCAGGAACAAGAGGAGCAGCATAACGAGACTGGTGCCCAGCAGGGGCACGCACCTGCGCACGAAGCTCTCGAGCGCGCCACTGCTCGGCCTTGACACTGGGACGGGCACCGGCAGCTGCAACCAAGAAGTCACACAGCTGCGTCGGATATGCTGCTTCGTCCTTTGTTTTGAATTGCCAGCCCTGACCTAACCTCACCGGGGCCCAGCTGAGGTGCTGGTGTTTGCCGTCACAGGCAAGCGAAAGGCCTTCGAAAACCTTTGGCGATAGCGCGACCTGACCCAAACATGCATGTGTCGAAGTCGTAATCATGCAAAGCAAAGTACCATTTGCGAAATGAAGCAGGCCCGCGCTGTTTGACCAAAGTTGCGAGCAGCGGCCACAACCAACTTCTCACTGGGTTTTCAATGGTGACAACTGCGCCCCGGCTGTAAGCAAGAAAGTGAACCTCAACAGCCTGCGCATACACCTGGTTTGCGGCCTTGACCTGCTCTTGCTCAGCGGGTCCTAGGCAAGCTTTGCCAAAGAGGTTGTCAGCATCACGCAAGGGCCGAGGCGCGTTCGGCAACGGCCTCTCCCGGGCCCTAGAACAAGTATTACAAGGGAGACCAAAGTGGTACCAAGCGACATTAGCACGGCTGGCGAAGGAGGCCAGCAACACCGGACTTGAGGCATGGCCAAATGAACAAGGGTGTATGAGCATGAAAGCGGCACGAAGGCTGGTCGATGGGCAGCGCGTTCCAGCCTGCACGCAAGGCGGCTGCAGACAGCACAGCTGAGCCGGCACAGACCTCAACAAGCCATGGAGCTTCCCCGCTTGTCTGAACAACGGGGGCACTGGGGCAGGCCGAAGAGGGATTACTGAAAAGCTCCAATGGCTCCTGAACCCACTCACTCTGAAGAGCCTCCAAAGTCGGCAGAGGGAACCCCAGAGAGCGAAGGAGACGACGATCAGCTGACCCCAAGTGCACAGCACCAAGCAAACTGAAGAGAACAAGCACGACCCTCCTACCCTTAGCCTCTGAAGTAGAGTGCTCATGCACTCGCGCGCAGAAAGAGACTGGCCCCTGGCTCACTCGGAGGCGTGCTGTTTGCTTTGCCTTGACCAAAATGTCTCCCCCAGCGAACGAGCTGAGCGGCACAACCACATTTGGCAAGAAGGCATTCTGAGTGTCAACATGCGCTTTGGTGCACACGCGGTCCAAAATGACAAAACTGGTGTAATGATGTGATGGCACGACCTTTGAAGCAAAATGATTGATCACCTTAAGTGTCTTGGGGAAAAGATGGCAAGCCTTCCTCAGGCCAACCTTAATTCGGCAGTAGACACCTCCAGAAAATGAAACCCCGTTGGCGTCTCGGTCACTGGTGTCCTTTGGCAAAAGATCAAAGAGCTCAAGAACCTTGGACTCGGAAAAATCAACACTGTCCAAGCAAGCCTGAGCAAAGTCCTCAGGAGAAGAGGCCGAAGCTGACAAAACCACCGCCTCACTTGGCTCGCTGGGAGCCGCTGCTTGCTGGCTGGGATGGATGGTAGTCGCGAGGGAGGCCAGCGACTCTCCCGCTCCATCCCTTCAATGCGAACACTCAATGTAAGGCCGCGTCTCCTTGCAACCCTTGTAGTAACACACATGCTTGCCAAAACGACAGCTCTTGCGCTTCTGAAACCTGCAAATGCCCTTGTTGTAGAACGGGCAAATGAATCGCCCTTCAGCATTCTTAGCCTCGCAGTTTGGAGGAAGGCTTGCAAGCAGCTCCTTCAGGGAGACATTGGCAGTCGAGTCGCCCTCGGCCTGCTTCCCCTTTCCAGTCTTTCCCTTGCCGGTCTTCTTGGGATTTCCCTTGCCCGGGCCCTTGCCTGGCCCATCTGCTGAAGCAGAGCTAGGGGCATGCTGGTTGGCAGGCACCGGTAAAGGCGTCATGCAAGCAATGACAAGTGGATCCAAGCAAAGCTTCTTAAGAAGAGAATCTAAAGGAGGGTCCAAGCCTGCCCCAACTGCGATGTTCCCTCGGGACTCCTGAGACATGATCTGCCACAGCTTGGCATCTGCGGAAAGGATCTGCTGAACAGTCACATATCGGTATCCAGCCGGCGGAGACTCAAGCAGGGCCTGAAACATCTTGTTGCTCCACTCTTCAAGTTGCACGAATGAAGCGAGCCCCACTTGATCAAACGCTAGCGCTCTCCTGAGGAAGCATTGGCGCAGGCGTATTTCCCCTGAAGTATCGCACCTCAGGTCACTCGCCTGATGTGTCATCTTGATGTTGCCGTCGCTGCCCAAGGGGAGCCGATTCTCACTCTTAACCCCCATGATCTCATCCTGCCTGCTGACACACTTCTCGGGAGGGATGTGCGAAATGAGGCCCTGATCCAACATTGATTGAACCTTGTCCACCAATGCATGCCCAGGCTCGGTTCGAACATCGAGAACCAAACCTTTAAGCTCGTCCCGCTGGCGCTTCAACCTCGTGAGGCGCTCTGCCATTGGCATCTCCCTCGGCTGGCTATCTGGGGTCTTCTGCACCTGCTGCTGCAAGTCAAGCATGGCATGAGTATGCGATTCATACCATTACCAGAGCCTGCGCACAGTTGGGACATCTTTAGGTGGGACATCCTTTCCCGTCAGGCCCTTGATGGCTTGAAGTAGGGCCGTGTCATCACCCGAGTTCGGCTGAATGGCGCAAATGAAGGCAAGCTTTCCAAAGGTGTCAATCCCAGCCTTGGTGAACTCGCTGATGAGTTCCTCAGCCAGCCCATACTTTCGTGCACGATCCTTGAAGTGCGCCGAAGACTCCAAGCCCGCCATTCCCCTCTCTTAGCTAGCCCTGTGCTTGATCAGCAAACAGACTGCCGTAGGGAATGTCTCGGTTGCAGCTCAAACGACAGATCAATGCAGTCATGCACAAAAGCGCCACACACAAGCAACCACAGCTCGCGCCGAAGAGCGCACAACATTCATAACCGAACTGTTGAATAGCAGCACCGTTCACATCAGAGCAGTGTTCAGCCCTGACGAAGCACCACGGCGAGGTCAGCCGAGCATCTCAATCGGGCGATCTCAGCCCGACGCTGCTGGGTGCAATGTCTCCAATCACCCAAGCCCGACACAAGGCAGGCTCCTTCTTTTTACCCAGGGCACATGCCTCGATCAGCTTCAGGCACCGCTATCCGCAGCAGCGCACTGTTGGCATACATGACCCTGAGCCTCGCCCTGAGACATAAGTCGCATGTTGGCGGGACATACCGCCCACACTTGAACCTCCCAGGCGATGCCTCACAATGCACAACCCCTGTGAGGACGTGCATGAAAACATTGCCGGCAAAAGTGGCCTCGATACGGGGCCGCACCGCATCGGGCGCCGACGGCAAATTAAGAGCCTGCAATCCTTTAATAAGCTCAGTGTCCGAAAGGTCCGAGCCCTCACCTTCAGACTCAAGTGCTTCACCGTCGCCATCGATGAGGTCAGGCTGCGTTTCTAGGAGGTGGGCGAAATCTTCAGGGGCTTTCTGCAATGCAAGCGCAACCCTCTGTGCCCGCGGCAGATCCGGCGAGAAAGCACCGCTGACGACAGCCCTCACGATTCGCCCAACTTTCACCATGATCTCAGCCATAGCATCCCTGCTGTACAGCAAAGCCATTCCAAGCTTGGGATGCACATATGGTGGCCCTGGGTTAACCTTTCCTCGTAGGACATGGTTCCTGACTTGGCACTCCAACTCAAGGCCAGGGCTTAAGGCTGTGGGAAGTGTAGGCCTCAAGGTCTCCTCCAGCTGAAGCCAAATACAAAATTTCCCTCAGCCACAAAGAACCCTCGCCAGCCGTCATAGGCCGTTGCAGCCAAGAAGACGAGGGAGCAAGCGCGGGCATCAAGCACGAATGACCGGAGATGCCCGCAGCCTCACGATGCTTAATCCAAGCTGCGCCCCAGCCGGGCTGCACGAGAGTACGCCCTACTGCAAGCAACGGTAGCATCCGATTTTGTCTGTCCTTGGCACGGGTCTTGTAGTGCGCCGTCCCTGTCTCAAGTATCACAACGGAACCTCCTGATGCATCCATGGTAACACCCTTAGCCCTTGCAGCATCGGAGAATCGCGAAGAGGCGTAGATGCAAAACAACAAGAACCCGGCGATACAGGCTCTGGCATGATCTCGCGTGTCAATCACGAACTCCTCCAAAGCACGGAGATGCGACACTGGTAGGGGCGGCGCCTGCCATAGGGGCCGCTTCTTGAGCTCCATGGAAGATGCAACCCCTGAAACTCTGGCAGAGATGGGATTGTTCAGATAGGCCCCAGTGTGATGCATGAAGAACTTCAGCGCCTTAACAAACGACTCAGCGGATGTCGGGCTGGCACCAGAGTGTCTGAGGAAGGACACATAGTCATAGACCTGCAGCTCCGAGGGAACGAGAGGCCTGATCCTGTTGCGAACGGGAGCCTTGCCCGCAAAGGCATCTTCGATGGACCTCGAAAGCACTCCCTCCTCAACAAGGAGTCCCGCGGTGGCAACAAGAGACCTTCCCAACGCAGAGTCCTCAGGATGGAAAAGAACAATGGACCTAATTTTCTTGAAGGCAGCCAGCAGCATCTGATCATCAGTCTTGGCAAAACGGGCAGCAAGCAGCCGCCTAGCCTCGAAAGTGTTCCTTGCAGTCCATGCCCAGGGCTCTGAAGAGACAGCAACAACCCTAGTCGGAGCCGGCCGGTCAAAGCGCCCCAGAAGCGGGTTAGGAAACAAGCTTTTGGAGGGTTGAGGCGAGGCCGCACAGACCTAGAAGTCACTTCCCAAGGGTACTTAAACTGTTGTGTCCTCATTGCCACAAGACGAGAGTTCATGGAATGCCAATCATCCTGAAAAAGGGGCACAGCAGCTGGAGGTCCTGAAGGCGCCTGGCGAACATCACCGGGCACTGCTACCTGCTCGGGCCCCAGCTGCGCCATAAGCGACCCGAAACTAAGGTCCTCATCGCGCCCTGCAACAGCCCATGACTTCTCA